GTTCCGAGGGGAGCAGACCCTTCCCGGAGGACCGGACCTCCCCCCACATCCCTCCTCTCGTCCTGAGGGGCGCCCCTGAGGCTCCCCAAGGTCCCACCTGCCCTGCCCACGCCTCCCTCTCCTCCTGGGACACCTCTCTGTGCCCCAGACACATCCCTGCCACCTGCCTCCACACGCTGCCTCTCCACACCCCTCCCGCCTAGGAGACCCACCAACACCTCCCCCACCCCCACCCCACCCGGCCCAGCTGGAGGTCAGTTCATTTTTTTAATATATTTTTATTGATTTCAGAGAGGAAGGGAGAGAGAGAGAGAGAAACATCAATGATGAGAGAGAACCATGGATCGGCTGCCTCCTGCATGCCCCACACTGGGGATGGAGCCCGCACCCCAGGCCTGTGCCCTGACCGGGCATCGAACCCGGGACCTCCTGGGTCACAGGCTGATGCCCACCCCCTGAGCCACGCGGCCGGGCTGGAGGTCACTGCTGGTCGTGGCCGGCAGCCCCTGTGCCTCCCAACGCCGGGCACTCGCCCTGCGCATCTGAACGGCAGACGCCACGTGGACTCTGGATCCGTTTCCCCAAAAGGGCAGGGGCCCGGGACCGAGCGGAGGCCCTGGCTGAGGGGCCGGCTGAGGTGTCCCTGGTTGTCACCCAGGTGCTCTGGGGCGTCAGGAAGGGTCTGCTCAGGCCTCAGCACCCGGCTTCCCGCGGAGCTGGCACACAGCAGCCTGGCGTTGGCTGAGCGACTGGCTGATGCCAGGTCCCAACGACAGCCAGTGAGGGGACCTCCTGGGCACCCTGCCCACACTGCTGCCTCCCCAAGCCACTCTGCTCTGGGGGCACAGAGGGGCATCAGTGTGAAGGCACGCCTGCCACGGTCCCGCGCCACGAGGGGCCTCAGTGTGAAGGCACACCTGCCACAGTCCCGGGTCACGTGGGCCTCAGCGTGAAGGCACACCTGCCACGGTCCTGCGCCACGTGGGCTTCAGCGTGAAGACACGTTGCAATGGGCCCGGGCCACGCGGGCCTCAGTGTGAAGGCACACCTGCCACGGTCCCGGGCCACGTGGGCCTCAGCGTGAAGACACGTTGCCATGGTCCCGGGCCACGCGAGCCTCAGTGTGAAGACACGTTGCCATGGTCCCAGGCCACGCGAGCCTCAGTGTGAAGACACACCCTGGCACGGTTCTGGGCCACGTGGGCTATGGGCTCCGCGGCTGACACACGAGATTTGGGAGGAAATCGCAGAGCTGCTGACTAGAGCGCGGACGCAGGCTGGGAGCGGACAGGGCCTTCATCAACGGCCCGTGATTCAGCCCGTTCTTGGTATTTGTCTTTCCTAATCACAGGGCTATGGATGGCCCGTCATGCGCGCGGTTAATTGCCCTTCATAAAGACAGCTTTTGTGTTTTTAATTAGGCAGTTAATTATTGTAACTAATAGCATCACCTTGTACCTCACAGACAGAGCCTCACTGATTGGCGCCCGGAAAGTGTGATTCACACCCAAGTTAATGGAGCCGGTGAGGGGAGGAGAGGGGGTGCCGGGGGACTAATTATTGCTGATGAGTTACGATGCGACCTTCTCAGAACAGTGAGCATCGTGTGACTGAGGTGACAGAGCCGCACATCTGCTCCCAACGCGACTTCAGGAGCCGGCGAGACGACGAGATGACAGAACCCACGTCGGGACACTGCGGCCTCTGGTCCCTTCGAAATACCAACCTGCGTCCACCCAGAACCTCTGCTTTAAAACCCGAGGAACAGCCGGCCGGCGGGGCTCAGTGGTTGAGCATTGACCTATGAACCCGGAGGTCAGGGTTCGACTCCCAGTCAGGGTTCGATTCCTAGTCAGGGCACAGGCCCGGGTTGCGGGCTCCATCCCCTGTGGGGGGCGTGCAGGAGCCAGCCAATCTGTGACTCTCTCTCATCATTGATGTCTCTCTCCCGCTCTCCCTCTCCCTTCCTCTCTGAAATTAAAGAGAAGGAGAAGGAAGAGGAGGAGGAGGAGGAGGAGGAGGAGGAGGTGGTGCCTACAAGCCAGGAAGAGAACTCCCACCGGAAACCACCTGCCAAGACCTTGATCTTGGATGTCCCACCCTCCGGACTCCGGGGAAACGGAATTCTGTTGCTTATGCCCGGTCTGCGCCTGCGGTGTTCGGCTATGGCCGCCCAACCAGAGAACCAGCCCCTCGGCCCCAGCGGGTCTGCTGCCCCAGGGCGCACGCTGGCCTGGGGGGCCTGGACGTGAGAATCTGGGAGGTCAGGAGCCGGGCCAGCGAGGGCCCCCAGGGGAGTGACTCCAAGGGATTTCAGCACCAGGGACAGGCGAGCTCTGGGATAGGCCAGGGTATCACCCCTCCCCCATCGCCCCAAACCTGGGGGACAGGGGCCTCCTGCAGGGCCCGCTGAGGCCTCGCCGCTGCCCCTCAGGAGCCCGTGGACGCGCCCGACTCCTGCGGCCGCACCGCATCTGTGAACTGACCTTTACCTCAGCCTGGCGGGCAGGGACACACTCAGCGACAACGTCGTCGCCTGTGCAATTACGTGCATCGCAGAGCGGGTCCCCTGCAAATCACCCCGGGCCTCGCCCATCTGCTGGCTGTCGGCATCTGCCGGGCGCTCACCCGGAAACGATGGAGCCTCTGGTTAGCGTGGGGCGCAGGAGAGGCCGGCGGCCCCCGGGCTCCTGGCTGACCTTGGCGTGGCTGCTGCCCTCTCCGCTCACCACGGGCCGCGGGGGAGCTGGCCGGGGCAGGAGGGGCCCAGACCAGGCCCTCCCTCAGCGCCTACGGGATCTGTCACCCGCTGCCCCGAGGCCCTCTCCGCACGAGGGCACAGGCGCTGGGCGAGCGACAGAGCCAGGACCGCCCTTAGGCAGCCCTTGCCCACCAGCCAGTCACTTCTCCAAGGTGCATGCCACCCTGGCATCGCCACAGAGGCCAAAGGAGGCGCCGCCAGGGGGTCGGGGGCTGCAGGGATGGATACGAGGGGCTGCCAAGTGAGCGGTCCAGGGGCCCCTCAGGGGCAGGGCCATTGCGGGCTCAGAGCGCAGCTCACAGGTGGGAAGTGCTCCCTGGGCCACAGGGAAGCTCTCGTTTCGTTT